ACAGAGAAGCAAAAGCTAAAGTGAAAATTTATGATGAGACTCCAGAATTTCCCACAACCAAAGGCATTCAAAAAGGAGACTCAATATCACCCAAGCTCTTCATGGCAACCCTAGAAAATGTATTCCGTAAAACAGACTGGAAGAAGAAAGGTATATCTACAGATGGAGAACACCTCAACCATCTAAGATTTGTTGATGCTATCAGCCTGATAGCTAAAGATCTGCAGAACTACAAGTAGTAGTCAGTGATTTAGACAAAGTTAGCAATGAAATTGGCCTTAAAATGAACTTGGCAAAAACAAAAGTCATGTACAATGAACTAGTAGACAATCAAGAATAACAATAAATGACATCACACTAGAAATGGTAGTTAAATATATATACCTGGAACAAGTAATATCCAAATCTGGCTCACTACTTCCAGAAATCAACAGGAGGATCAAACTAGCATGGTCTACATTCAGACAAAATTCTGAAATCTTCAGGTCTAAAATGCGAATCCACCTGAAGAAAAGAGCATTCGATCAATGCATACTACCAGTCGTGACTTACAGATGTGAAACTTGGACACTAAAGAAAGAAATAACAGTGAAACTCCAAGTTGTGAAAGGTTAATGGAGCAATGCATGCTAGGAATAACCAAGAGAGATCACAAAAAAATAGAGTGGATTAGGGAAAGAACAGAGGTAACTGATGTGATCCACAGAATTAAATCTCTCAAATGGCAATGGGCAGGACATCTGGCAAGGAGGACTGACAACAGATGGTCTACAAGAATCACAATGTGGTATCCACGGGGAATCAAGAGACCCAAAGGACATCCATACTTAAGATGGGACTATGACATAAGGAAACAAGCAGGCACAACATGGTGGAGAGAAGCAAATGATAGTCAAGCATGGGCACAAATGATGGAATATTATGTAAGGGAGGCTACACCATAATTTGAAATGGCAGAATAAGCTGAAGCTAATGATGATGATGATTATATGCAACTGCATGAATATATGTTTTGTTAACTTACAGATAAAACGAATAAAGAAAAAAAAAGTGTATAAAAAAAATTGGTATGTTTCAGTTAGCAGGAAACCAGCCAATATATATATAGCAATGGGTAAGATTCAACCCTCTAAATGGAGGGTTTCACATCACCCTCAGAATTGTTAAACCTTTGTGAGATATTCATCTCCAATGGTCAGTTTTTAACATGTATCAGTATACTACTGCCTATTCTAAATGGTTCACATATAGACATGCGCCTCAGTACTAACTATTGCTCGCACCTCAATGCCCAAATGAGAGCAAGCCCCCCACACCCCTTAAAACTGTATAACGTCAAGTACTCCACAAACAATCAAGTGGGATATTCGAAGCTGGCACAGTCACATGGGCTAAATTGGTAAACACAATAGTCTTTCGCAATGGTCTTCTGGCATCCCATTAACCAAAAAGTACCAAAAAATCCTAATTATGTACAGAGTTCACTTCCTCAATGCCATCATACAATGAAATTGAGGACTGGATGCCCATATTCAAATTTCACTGAAACTATCATTCTACATTAAAAAAAAAAAAAAAAAAAATGTTTTCTGAAAATAAAATTGTCACTGTCACTGATATTATATCATTGAATGCAGCAGGTTTAACACATGACAGCTTTTTTTTATATTTCAAATGAAAAAATAATTAAAAGTGAAAAATATAAATAAATCCAGAGTATAGAATGAAATATTTGTTAAACTGGTTGCTAAACATGTAAAACAAATCAAACATATACAGACTAACAAATAAACTAATTAATTTGAACTTGATATTTAAATATATTTATTATAATAGTGGAATAATGTATAGTTAATTTTGAGTTTGACAGTATTATTATATATTAAACTGTTTGTTTGAATTGTTTATAACTATTTCATATCATCACCCATATTCTGTTTTGTAAAATGTGGAGAACTACAGTTTTTGATATTTTCAATTCTGTTATTATGCAAAAAGCAATTTGCCAATAATTTTTAACAAATTCTGCAACATCAGCAATGTAAAAGAGGATAATAAAAGATATAGAAAAGAAATTTTCAACAGTGAAGCAACAATCAGAAAACAGATCATTGCAGTATCAACTGTAACGGAGTCTATATTAAATAAAAAAATTATTTCTGGTGTTTTCTCTTATATAAACCTTCTTTTGAAACTTATGAACTGTACTATGAACAATAACTTGTTTAAGAAATANCCGCCGCACCCCCCCGATGGCCGGCCCTGTATGTAAATAGGTCAACGTAGAAACATTAGACGCCGGTAGCAAACCCCTATAGAATTAAGGCTATTTTTATCCTTATCAACAGAAAATAAGCGATTAAAGGCGCCAACTTAGTATTTACCAGTAAAAGTTTTATTGTTTAATAAATGTAAGATTTAAATACTGTTTCGTTGGTGCACCGCGCAAACGTCTTCGTCAAATATTTACCAGTTTTCTATAGAGGGGTGCGCGTGACGTCACACGACTCCGCTCACATATACGGAGACTGCGCAAAGAAGCGCGCGCCATATTAGTTACTGATTTCGCGTTATCTCGCTCGATCACTATTATGTCAACGCGAAAGAAAGGAATTTTACCAGGTTTTGCAGCCGATTTGACAGGTAATGATTTGATAAAATATAAAGAGAAAACTTATTTTATCGGATGGGATCCATACGAAATGAAACAAATGGATTTTTCATCCAACGTTTTAACCACGTGGCCAACTATAGAACGTAAATTATTAGGTTTTAACAACTAACAACTAACGCTGTCACACTGGATCGGACGAAGGCATACAAGTCACTCCATGCTCGTAATTATTTGACAAGGGAATTTATTCGTGGCCATATTTTATCGAGAGCCGTTCGTAATGATTTAATTTTGCTTGTAGGAAAGGTACGTATCTTCGTGTGAATCTTTCCATTACTCATAACATAACTGCGTTAATATAAAGACGAATGTAATTTTATATTTAGTCGCATTTTAAGTTAACTTGTATTTATAATTACAGTACACCTCCTATAAAACGGGTTCATATAATACGGTGAAAAAATTGCGATCGTATTCGTGTAAACACGCTAAAAGAGACTCGTATAATACGGTAAAACGTCATCGCCGAATCGTGTCGCCACAGGATTGGTCGAATCTAGACCAATAGCGAATATTGCGCAAACCGTCGAGTTTAAACGAGCGGCGGACCTACTAAAAACCATTTATTATTAATTAATTAATTAACGGCCATAAAAGTTATATTTATATTAATGATGTCTCCAAAGTTCAGAGAATTTTTCGCAGAAAAATAACTTATCGGAAAACACGCGCCAGCCGTTCGATGCGCCGCTCCGCCACGAAAACGAGCTTAAGCAATGGCGTCGTCGAACGGTGCGCACTCGGTAAGTAATCCTACAATTTTTTTGTTTATAGCGTAGTTTATACGGATTATTCCCAAAAAATTATACGTGATTTGGAAAGGTTGAGTCGAATTAGTCTAGAATCGAGTAATTTTATGAAAGAAAACCTTTCAAACAGCCGTAGTCCGTAAACTGCACACGAGCCGAGCTGTGATTGGCTCGTGTATTTAAGTGACTAGTACAACATGGAATTAATATAAAACGGAACGTATCTACCGTATTATAGGGGGCCTACTGTAGTTACAAAAATGCTCGAAATCTACCTACTAACTAACTAGATAAACCAACTTCTTCTCGACATAGTGCGACTCTAACGCCAGCTATTGGCAACTCGAGAGAATAACGCAAGGACCAATATTGGTTATAACAAGTTGGGCGTCAGCTACAACGGTTATTTTGCTCCGTGCAAAGTGAAAATTCAGTGGATAGTATTAGTAATTGGCTATTACGCGCGGGAATAACGACTTCCGGGAGGTCTTTTAAGGGAAACTGGCCCCTATTTAGGCGTTACAGACGTAGATAAAACCCGGAAAACTCCAAACGGCCAGCCCGTCCGAGCGAGGCGCGAACCACGACCGTACTCCCAGTGTTTAGGTACTGGTCACGCGAAGTGCTGGGACGGAGTTCACTCTGCCACCGATCTTTGTTCTTTCTTTCTTTCTATCTTATTAATATGGAGACTCTAGCCTATTGGCTTTTTCTCCGAATTACTCCGCTTGGAATTTAGGTAAAGCGGTTGGTGCGGTGAACGAAACGCTCCAAGATTTCGATATGTTGGCGAGGAGGAAGGTCGGTATGAGGCCAGTATATAGGAGTTAAGGTACGGACGATCGTCAGGTCCACGGTTAAAAGACGGCCTAGCTCTTGGCGGGCCCGTGTGTATTTCGGGCAGACAAGCCAATAGTGTGCAGAAGTTTCTGGCGAGCCACAGTGGGGGCAATCTGGCGAGGCGCTTTGGCGTCGAGAATAGAGGAAGTTGTTCAGGGGGGCCGTATCTGTACGAAGTCTAGCCAATAGGGTTTCTGTGTGGCGAGACGAAACGTGATGGTATATCCAAGGGGCGAAAAGGTCTTCGGGGAAAAGGTCGCGACCATCTCCGACCTTTTCCCCGATGAATGGTAGGCCAGGTATCGGTGTAGTTGCGGATGATCGATTCCCGCATCTGGCATATGAGGTGGCGTGCCATGTAAGGTCTCCACCAGAAGCCGATGGGAGTGTCGTGACTAGCGGCTTGGTCTGCCTCTTCATTTATGTTGATGCCAACGTGACCCGATTTCAAGGGGTGTTGGGTGAGAGCTGATGGTTGCAGCTAGGACAATAATAACCGCTGGAGAGGATAGGGCGAGGACCAATATATCAATCGACTCCGCTAACGCCACCACAAAATGCGGCGGCAGCCGCGTGAGAATATTTCCACCTAATACGACCAATCCGTTTAAATTAAACTATATTAATATTTAAGTTTTTATTTATAAGCAACTTCAAGATTCAAATATATATAAGGATAAGTCAAAAAGTCAATAAGAACAATAAAGATTATCGTTTTATTTTTGGTTGGCAACACGATCAAGGATTACGAAAGCGTTTATATCGAACATTCTGGAATATTTCGAACATAAAAATAATTTAATTTCGGGCAGTATTTTGAAATTTGCAAGATAAAAATGGAAGCCGGCGATGGTTTCGACATTAATTCGACAGAATTGTTAAAGAGAAAAGACATTTCTTCGCTGGATGGACGATCGGAAGCGCCGACCGGCAGCCGTGGAAATGCTTCGAGGCTATTAAACGAATTGAAACCCGATTTTCAGTTTACGACGGAAATGGAAGGGCCGGCGCATCGTCCCACATTTACGGTAACTATTAAAATCGATAATAAAGAATTCACGGGCCAAGGTCATTCTAAACAAATGGCAAAACACGCAGCCACGGAGAATGCATTAGCCGCTTTCGGTTACGTTCGTAATTCGACAGATATTCCTAATAAGAACGTCGACTACTTTGACCGAGTTCGACTTCTCCGAAGCCAAACAGATAAGATGTCCTCCGAATATTCCGAGGAAATGGATTGGGTCGTAACCAACACCGATTCGAAGGGGAGAAATCCGGTTGCGCTATTATACGAACTTCATCCGGATTTAAAATTTAATTTAATAGAAGAAAAGGAGTCGGTTATTTTGGAGAGGTTCAGGATGAGCGTCGAAATTGCCGACACGATATTCCAAGGCTCCGGTCGAAGCAAAAAATTAGCCAAAGCCGCGGCTGCCGAATCGGCTTTGTACGCTTTGTACGGTATCAATTTTTCGAAAAATAATACGAATCGGCAACCTTTGCCCGAGAAATACGTACTCCTTTATTCGGTGGCGAATAGAATATGCGGCGGTATTGGCGAAACCTTTCGAAAAGTAACGGGTTACTACGCCGAACGGAATGTACTGGCCGGAATCGCCATGACCCGCGATTCGGAGATGGAAATTATTGCCGTATGCGCCGGCACAAAAGACGATGTTGGAAAAGACGTAAGTTTGGACGGTACGTCTTTGAACGATTGTCACGCCGAAGTACTCGTACGAAGATGTTTGACAAGTTTTCTCTATTCACAATTAGAATCGATGGCCACCGGACGGAAGAACCGTTCGATCTTTATCGAATGCGACGGAACGCCCGCTTACCGACTCAAACCCGACGTAAAATTTCATCTTTACGTTAGCGAACCACCGTGTGGTGATGCGAGAATGTGTTTCCCCGAAGAGTTTAGTGGTCGATCTTTACAGCGGGGCGCTTACGGAGTTTTGAGGTGGAAAAATAAATTCCAAAAGGAATCTTTTTATATCGAAAGTAACGACGGAATTCAAACGGTGGAAGTAATAAAACGTAACAAACGGCAATTTACCACCCTGTCGTGTTCCGATAAAATCGCCTCGTGGAACGTTTTGGGAATTCAAGGCTCGCTGCTTAGTCATTTTATACAACCGATATATCTGGAAAGTATTATTATCGGAAGAGAAATTTACCCCGGATATATATTCAGAGCTATGTGGGGCCGTTTCGAGAAATCGCTCCAGATATTGCCCGAACCTTATCGTTTAAGAAAACCTAAAATATGCTGGGTGAAAGAGCCCGAATACTACCACTCCTCCAATCTTCCGGATTCCGTCGTTAATTGGTCGGTCGAATTTAAAACACCGGAAATTATAAATCCAAGTACGGGCAAATTACCGGGTGGAAACATTTCCAGATTGAGTAAGGCGGCACTCTTTTATCGCTTTCGGAATTTATGCGACAGAGTTCCGAATGTGTCCGATGGACGGTCGAATGGAAACCCCGAGTCGTATTTGGATTGGAAACGATCTTCCCTCGATCATCAAGCAGCGAAAAAGATTTTGAAAGAAGCGTTTCAAAATGCGGGTTTAGGAACGTGGGTGACCAAACGTTCCCATCCGGACGATTTCGTCTTGTCATTTTAAAGGAACTTTTACCAAATACCGTATTTTTTCATTTACATTTATGAATGTTGTTCTTTTTCTTCGAAATTGAATTTACGAATTAAAGTTGTTCAAAACATTTTACTCGTTATATTATGTATAAAATATGTATATTTGTGACGTCTATTATGTGATTCATTCGGTATTAATACAGATATAAGAATTTTTGAAGCTACAGTAATAATTTACCTTAGAGCATCGATTATCCGAAAAATCATTAGTCGAAATCGACTTCAGAGAATAGGTCTACTAATTCCCGAAATTTCAAAGTTGTGTTCGTTACAACGAATGTTGTCGACTTTCTGTAGGCCCGATATCCAGCTATCTCGTTATCAACACTAATGTTAGATTTTATTTATTACGGTGCAAATAGAAAAACGTCATTAACGAGTTACAATTTCTATCTCTTCTAAATTCCTACCGCCCACCAGTGTCCGAGCGGTTCCGTTCCCCGAACACTGGGAGTTCGTTGGTGGGTTGGTGCCTGGTCGCGTAGAGTTTTCCGTGTTTTCTCCGAGTCTGTAATGCCCGAATAAGGGCCAATTACCCTTAAAAAGGCCTTTCCGAAAGGTGGCCATTTTAAGGGTACATTATGAGGTTTCCATTTTCGTATTCGGGACCTCCAAACGTCGAGAAATACAAAAAATAACATTCGAGGGTTGTTTCTGTATGATGGTGGTGTATGTCTGTCAGGGCCGGCCTTCTCTATAAAGGGGCCCGGGTGCAAGAAACTATTTGGGTCCTACATTTTTTGTAAAATAAAAAAAATTACAAACACAAACATATATTAATTCATGTTTATTTAAAGCGTGATTTTGTTCTTGCTAATACATGAATTACTTAAGGAAAATTGTAATTTTTGCAATTTCTTTTTCAATGCTTAATATAGCAATTGCATTAAGCGTTCTGCACACATGCTGGATCGAAATAATTCTTTATTAATTTTAATTTGCTGAAAGAGCGCTCAGCACTTGCTATAGTAACTGGCAACGCAAAGAAAAGTTTTAACACAGTTAATACATTTAGAAATAACTCATTATAATTATTATTTAGTATGTATTGCATATGTCTTGTGTGTTATTTACATCTCTTTCATTCAAAATCAAATCCCGTAGCAAACCAATTTCCTGGAATAGGTTTTCATCTAGGGGAGATCCTTCTACTTTGGGACGCTTTTCTTTAAACCTTTATAATTTAAGTTCAAATTGATCNTAATTATTTACAATAATTTAATATATGCAACTGGATTTGGTGAAAGGAACGAAACAGGAGAAAGACTGGTGCAATTTGCAAGTTACCAGAACATGTATATATCAAATACATTCTTCAAGAAGAACCCCAACAGGAAATGGACATCAGAAGCACCAAACGCAGTGACTAAGAACAAAATTGGCTACATTCTTACCAACAAGACCCACACAATTAAAGATGTCAGCATTCTTAATAAATTCCAAACAGACAGTGACCATCGACTAGTCAGATTGAGAATTGTCTTGATTTAAAACTAGAAAGACTTAAGTTAGTCAAAAAACCAAGAATATTAGGAATCAACATCAATAACCTAATGGAAAACTCAGATCAGTATCAAAGGGCACTAGACGAAAGTCTACATGACCAAGTCAATAGCTTAGCACAGTCGCCAATGATTGTCTTATGACAATCATTCTCGACTGTGCTAAGACGATAGGAGGACTGCAGCAAAAAAATGAACACATGAAACTGTCCGACAAAACTGAAGATCAGTTAAAACACAAATGGAAAATGAAAGCAAGTACTAATACATAGAGGATAGAATACAAAGAATTATGTAAAGCACTAAGGAACAGATTACAGAAGATATTAGGAAATACAATGAACAACTGATTGAGAATGCAATGAAAATAGAAAAAGTTATAAAACGATAAAAAGAGCACTAATTGTGGGGAAGAAATAAAATAATTGCACAGATAAACAAAAACACCAGGACCACACACAGAAATAAAATAATTCAAGAAGTAACCAAGTTTTACAGTGAATTATACAAAGCCCCAGAGACACTTGGAGAAGAAGCACTTAATAATGAAGAAAACATCCCAGAAGTTCTAACGAAAGAAATAGAATCAGTGCTCAAAACTATGAAAAATGGTAAGGTGGTAATGACGGAATAACAGCTGAAATGTTGAAATATGCTGGCAGAAAGACATGGAAAATCTTGGCAAATAAATACACAGAATGACTAAGGTCAAGACACATACCAGATCATTGGAACAGTGTAAATATAATATTCACCCATAAGAAAGGCAGCAAAGAGGACATTAAAAATTATAGACTCATAAGCTTACTCCCAATTATTTACAAAATATTTACGAAGATTATCAACAACAGATTAAAAAACACATTAGATGCTGTACAATCATGGGAACAGGCTGGCTTTAGAAGTGTTTTCAGTACAATAGATCATATACAAACATAGAGAATTATTAAGCCATACCAATGAATATCGAATACAACTAGCAATGGCCTTCTTTGACTTCGAAAAGACTTTCAACTTCATATAACCCAGAGAATTAATAGAGGCTATAACCAACCAAGGCATTGACAAACCATACATAGAAACTCTAGCCAACATATACAGAGAAGCAAAAGCTAAAGTGAAAATTTATGATGAGACTCCAGAATTTCCCACAACCAAAGGCATTCAAAAAGGAGACTCAATATCACCCAAGCTCTTCATGGTAACCGTAGAAAATGTATTCCGTAAAACAGACTGGAAGAAGAAAGGTATATCTACAGATGGAGAACACTTCAACCATCTAAGATTTGTTGATGCTATCATCCTGATAGCTAAAGATCTGCAGAACTACAAGTAGTAGTCAGTGATTTAGACAAAGTTAGCAATGAAATTGGCCTTAAAATGAACTTGGCAAAAACAAAAGTCATGTACAATGAACTAGTAGACAATCAAGAATAACAATAAATGACATCACACTAGAAATGGTAGTTAAATATATATACCTGGAACAAGTAATATCCAAATCTGGCTCACTACTTCCAGAAATCAACAGGAGGATCAAACTAGCATGGTCTACATTCAGACAAAATTCTGAAATCTTCAGGTCTAAAATGCGAATCCACCTGAAGAAAAGAGCATTCGATCAATGCATACTACCAGTCATGACTTACAGATGTGAAACTTGGACACTAAAGAAAGAAATAACAGTGAAACTCCAAGTTGTGAAAGGTTAATGGAGCAATGCATGCTAGGAATAACCAAGAGAGATCACAAAAAAATAGAGTGGATTAGGGAAAGAACAGAGGTAACTNTTCAAAAAGGAGACTCAATATCACCCAAGCTCTTCATGGTAACCGTAGAAAATGTATTCCGTAAAACAGACTGGAAGAAGAAAGGTATATCTACAGATGGAGAACACTTCAACCATCTAAGATTTGTTGATGTTATCAGCCTGATAGCTAAAGATCTGCAGAACTACAAGTAGTAGTCAGTGATTTAGACAAAGTTAGCAATGAAATTGGCCTTAAAATGAACTTGGCAAAAACAAAAGTCATGTACAATGAACTAGTAGACAGTCAAGAATAACAATAAATGACATCACACTAGAAATGGTAGTTGAATATATATACCTGGAACAAGTAATATCCAAATCTGGTTCACTACTTCCAGAAATCAACAGGAGGACCAAACTAGCATGGTCTACATTCAGATAAAATTCTGAAATCTTCAGGTCTAAAATGCCAATCCACCTGATGAAAAGAGCATTCGATCAATGCATACTACCAGTCATGGCTTACAGATGTGAAACTTGGACACTAAAGAAAGAAATAACAGTGAAACTCCAAGTTGTCAAAGGTCAATGGAGCAATGCATGCTAGGAATAACCAAGAGAGATCACAAAAAAATAGAGTGGATTAGGGAAAGAACGAGGTAACTGATGTGATCCACAGAATTAAATCTCTCAAATGGCAATGGGCAGGACATCTGGCAAAGAGGACTGACAACAGATGGTCCACAAGAATCACAATGTGGTATCCACGGGGAATCAAGAGACCCAAAGGACATCCATACTTAAGATGGGACTATGACATAAGGAAACAAGCAGGCACAACATGGTGGAGAGAAGCAAATGATAGGCAAACATGGGCACAAATGATGGACTATTATGTAAGGGAGGCTACACCATAATTTGAAATGGCAGAATAAGCTGAAGCTAATGATGATGATGATTATATGCAACTGCATGAATATATGTTTTGTTAACTTACAGATAAAACGAATAAAGAAAAAAAAAGTGTATAAAAAAAATTGGTATGTTTCAGTTAGCAGGAAACCAGCCAATATATATATAGCAATGGGTAAGATTCAACCCTCTAAATGGAGGGTTTCACATCACCCTCAGAATTGTTAAACCTTTGTGAGATATTCATCTCCAATGGTCAGTTTTTAACACGTATCAGTATACTACTGCCTATTCTAAATGGTTCACATATAGACATGCGCCTCAGTACTAACTATTGCTCGCACCTCAATGCCCAAATGAGAGCAAGCCCCCCACACCCCTTAAAACTGTATAACGTCAAGTACTCCACAAACAATCAAGTGGGATATTCGAAGCTGGCACAGTCACATGGGCTAAATTGGTAAACACAATAGTCTTTCGCAATGGTCTTCTGGCATCCCATTAACCAAAAAGTACCAAAAAATCCTAATTATGTACAGAGTTCACTTCCTCAATGCCATCATACAATGAAATTGAGGATTGGATGCTCATATTCAAATTTCACTGAAACTATCATTCTACATTAAAAAGCACAAAAAAAAAAAAAAAATGTTTTCTGAAAATAAAATTGTCACTGTCACTGATATTATATCATTGAATGTAGCAGTTTTAACATATGACAGCTTTTATATTTCAAATGAAAAAATAATTAAAAGTGAAAAATATAAATAAATCCAGAGTATAGAATGAAATATTTGTTAAACTGGTTGCTAAACATGTAAAACAAATCAAACATATACAGACTAACAAATTAATTAATTTGAACTTGATATTTAAATATATTTATTAGAATAGTGGAATAATGTATAGTTAATTTTGAGTTTGACAGTATTATTATATATTAAACTGTTTGTTTGAATTGTTTATAACTATTTCATATCATCACCCATATTCTGTTTTGTAAAATGTGGAGAACTACAGTTTTTGATATTTTCAATTCTGTTATTATACAAAAAGCAATTTGCCAATAATTTTTAATAAATTCTGTAACAGCAGCAATGTAAAAGAGGATAATAAAAGATATAGAAAAGAAATTTTCAACAGTGAAGCAACAATCAGAAAACAGATCATAGCAGTATCAACTGTAATGGAGTCTATTTTAAATAAAAAAATTATTTCTGGTGTTTTCTCTTATATAAACCTTCTTTTGAAACTTATGAACTGTACTATGAACAATAACTTGTTTAAGAAATATTTGTTACATTTGGAAATAGCAAATTTAAGAACATTAATTTCGATAATTTTCATTTAAACGATAAGTCAAATTCTGGTGGTCCATCGAGTAATAAAATATTAAAGTAAACACGTAAGAAAAATTTATGGTAAAAACCTTAAAAGTTGCGAGAAAGATCGCATCAATTAACTGCACAATTTTTAAAACTGTTAATGCACCAGATATTTGGGCATAGTACACGTATCGCCCAAAAAAGTTTAACAGAATCACCATACAAATTTCATATTTTTAAGTAACAATATAACAGTTTATTTTGAAAGATAAATTATAGAAACTAGGAAAACCATGTTGTTTTGCCACTACAATTAAGTTTTTGTCATGTTTTATTACATCTGAATATCACAAAATAAAAAAAGGAAATTAATCATGATTCACCATTGTTAATAACTTGCAAATTTCAAAATTATGATTTAAATCCTTTTAAAATTGTTTACAAATATTTATTTTCTAAAAATTTAAAAAGTTTTATAAAGCTTAATAATATAATCAAAGGCCAAAATATATGATTTTCATCTAAAACACCAAAAAATAATAAAATAAAATAACAAATCCTAAATTTCTATACTTTGTCTCATTCTGTAATTGACACATTTTTTTCAACACGTTTTCGTCAATTACAGACACAAATGAATAATTTGAATTTAAACGAAATAATTGTAAAAATGAATAAAAATAAAGAAATTTTCTTAACCTTTTTAGTTGAAAAAGTCTGCGGTTCGTTGAAAAAACGTGGAGTCGGTCGAGGAGACTTCAAAGTTGCCATTTGAAAAGAGATGTTTACTTGTCAATAACTACAGGCTCTACCTGAAATTTTCATTTATATTTTATCCGATGCCGCATTTTAAAAGTGTTGACATTAAAAAAGATCAAGGTTTTTCGATTATATTACGTTCGAGAATTGTAGAGGACATACCTTCGGTCGTGGAAATTAATTGGTATAATTATAAAAACAATACCAATTTCCATTCGACTTCATAATTCGAATCAAAAGTTGACTTCGGCCGCCATTACGCTACATGTGACAGATCTTCTCATTGGTTCGATAACTCGAAGCTCGTGTTACGTCATCGATATTTAATTTTAAATAAACACTTGTTAGTGTTACCGTATTATTTAGCCAAAATTTAAGGAATCTTTATTATTATTTATATTTCGAGTTTATATATTAATTTTGTTCAAAAAATATTTTTATAAATAATATCAAATTTGAATCGTCGAATCTAAACCATTTAAATTTACTTTTATTTATAGATTGAGTGTCCGATCACTACTGTACATGGCATTCAAATTAGGTTAATAAATTAAACTCATAATAATAAATAGGGTTATAATATAATGAATATACGAAACAGGAACAATATACAACGAGGGAGCTTTGATATGCCGAATCGTTCATTGAAAATAAAACCATTCTACGATACAAGGAATTTTAAGTGAATCTTTGCGGATCTCGCTCTTTTTTAATTGCCAAAAACAGTTTTATTAAATGAACTTCTATTTGCTTGCTGTAAGCCTGTCAATTAAAATCACGACGGTATTGTAAAAGAAATGCTTAATTAACACATTAAACGGCTGGATGGCTGCAACAGTATAGGCGCCACTATGTTATTTTGGAGATCCGGGTTCGAATCTCCTATCCAAACAGTGAAAATCAGCCGGAATCTGCTCAAATTTTCACGACTCGGTTTGATGACGGACTCCATCATCCGGATGCTTCTAATAGCCGAACTCACAACACAGAAAAAGGCCTTCTTAGTTGTTTGCTGGGCGATAAGAGCAAAGTGTCTAAGATGAAAAACATTTTAGAAGATATCGCAAAGCGTATTTCAATTTTTTATATCTTGTGTATGCAATATTTTTAAATGTTAGCTCTATTAAAATACTAACAAATTAAAGAATAAAAAAAAATGATAAGTTTATTCAAATCAAATTTTTCTACATAGATATAATTTTGAAGGCGTATTGATTGTTTAAAGGTGAATTACACAAAAATATAGAATGAATAACGTTATAAAATTATAATACCAGATATGATTTGATGGAGAACTGCTATTTTTAATGTTAAAATAATGAAATTCGTTTCTTTCTTTTCTGTATCGGATGTCGTTCTTATTTCTATCCGATTTTATTTGTGCATATTTGTCTCCATATTCGTATCCATCATTTTCGGAGTATTCCTCGGCCGAACCTGCGTCAATTTGATCAGTATCTGATGTATTATAAACAAATTTGTTTTCGTATTTCATTTCTTGTGGTATTTCGTTTGTTTCAATATCAAATTCTTCCTTTTCGAAATCTGAAAAAGTCGCAGTTCTTAAAGTTACTTTCTCATTAATGTTTATGCGGTTGAAGATTTCCTTTTTGTATTACCATTTCTGTTAATTGATTTCAGGCAATTGTGTTTTACTAATTTTCCCGAAGGCCATGTTTTACCAATAGTGTAAATATAATTTCTCTTAGTGGTGAACAGCAGTTCGGTTTCAGTTTGTCCTTTGGGACCAGGAATTGCAGTGCAGTATGGCGGACACTGTTTATTTAATTTACTTATTTCTGATGGGCCGTGTTCCGTTTTATTTTTGTATCTTGATGTTGTCACGTGTTCGATAGTTTTTTCATGAGGCCTTCTTGATTCAGTAGACGTAGTTTTTATGGTAGGACTAGAAATGTAATATTAAATTGAGAACTTTTTCTATAAAATACGAATTATTTCAGTAGAAAGCTATATCAATCTATATCATCGCTTGCTTCGTCAAATCATTATTTTCTCGTCTTCTACGGCAATTTCATCAATTGCCGTAGAAGACGATTTTTAGAAACTTTCCTTCCCTCTTCAATATGGCTCATTTGAAGATGAGAAAAAAGTTCCAAAACACGACTATGGCAGTTGTTAAAATAAAGATCGTTTGATGTTCTTCCTACAGAAATAATTCGTCACAATACAGTGTGGCTCCAAAGCGCGATAACATGTTAATTTACCTTTTTGTGGTTGTTGGTATTAAAGTACTTCTGTAACTAATAGTACTAGATATAGATTTTGTTGTTGTTTCTGGTATTTTTTTCGTGACAAAATATTTTGAAGTTAATGCTTTAGTTGTGAAAAATTGCAATCGAGAAAATGTAGTAGGAATATATTTTTCTTTAGTTGCTTTACCCAATGGTGGTAAAGTACCTGAAAATATAATATACTGTAATTAAAATAATAATCTATAGCAATTTTGCAGTTTTAATGAGATAGATACTTTGTAGCAAGAACAATGTATAGCATTTTCAGGCACTTTGCTACCATTCACTAAAAATAGTAATAAAGTACTTGAAAATGCAATATATCGTTCTAGGTATAGTCATTAATTTTATTAAAAATAACACACACACTCATTATATATATGTATAGCATTACCAGTGAATGGTCCTAAATCTCCTATGCCATCCGTTCCTTTATAACCTTCCATATTAATTTGATAATCTTGAATATCATCTATAAATTAATTACAATAATTAAAACGATTTTTATCATTAATATCCTCAATTATATTTTAATTACCCATTATTTCTGCTACAATTTTCAAATGTTCGGGTAGAGGAGGATCTTCTTTAAAATCAGGAGGAGCTGGTCTGTAAGCAGACTCCAATCCTTCATCGTACCAATATATACTGGCTAAATAATTTTAAAAATTATAATAATTTTAAATACTCTATGTAATTCAATTTATTCAATTTTTGCAAGAATTTGATAATTAATACTTACTTTGTACAGACTTTTTATAAAAATATGAATCACACAAACATATTAATGATGGTTTCTCTGTACACATTAACATACAATAAATTAACCAATATTTTCTGTCAAAGGTATCACAGTTTTCACCAGAAATATATTTAGGACACCTGCAAAACTGTGTTAAGATATTTATAGCAATATTAAAATTAATTACACAATATTGATTGAGAATGATAGAGAAATACCCCCATTATACTGCACACTCCTAACACACAGAACTTCCAAGAACGTTTATCAGTTGCGTTAAAATCAGGATAAACTTTGAAGTCAATGCAATTATAAGCTGAAATAAAATGGTTAATCTATTAGGTTTCATGCAAAATAGAAAGTATTATCCGCTACCCTCACCATTTTGAATTCTTCTTAAAACAGCCACAGCTCTCATGAACATCAATGGAGAAAATGCTATCACTGGTTCAGTTAAATCATAACCGGCCTCACAGTCCATTACAATGCGAAGTGTATAAGCTAAATAATGTGACAATTCATCACTTTCGGATAAAGGTAAAAATATTGAAAAGAAAAGCAATATATAACTCATTATTAATGCCATGTATATCGTTTTTCACATTCAGAGTAAATGATCAACAATTGCGTTGTAACAATAAAGCATTAAATAATAACTAGGAAAACTAGGAGCAAGATACCGTAAAATACATTGAATTTTTTAATGACTACTGTAAAGTTAGATACTGAGTCTTATTTCTCAGTTCATTCTAACAGTATAAAATATAATAGTAATTAGTCTATATAAAAATCGAGAAACCTGGTTTATAGTTTAAAATCAGTTTTTGCTGTTCTATCAATTTTTTTAGATAAACGTGAGAGTTATTTTTATGGTCGAACCTACTATTAAGATTAAATTTAATGCAGTAAACCCTCGGGATCCGTTAATTTAACCTTCGAATATCTCGGATAAATTATTTCAAAAAATTATAGAGTAATTTAAAATTTCTTGAAATAGAATAATTGTAATTAACGAGCAATTAAGTGTTTTCTATATTCGGAAGTCTTTGAGATACCATATTTTATATTGCCATGGTAGGTTACTTAAGACTGTATATAGAGCTAATCGTAATAAATTACCTGTAAAACACACATGTAACTCGAACTTTCCTAACTCGGCTACCTTCTCCCCTTATTATTCTGAGTTAACAGAGGATTACTGTTATAAAAGTCTTCATTTTGAGATTAGAGAGATGAAATCACATTCTTCGTTTTTTCCTTTCTTTGGGTTCTTAATAAAGTTAAATATAAAAGTTTTTTTTTAAAGTAAAATCTTATAACAGCCAGGAAAGTTATGCAACTCGTTGTTAGATTTTGTAAAATACAAATAATTGTATACCTTATATTTCTACTTAAATTTTAGATTGTGAATAATTAATTTTTCACTCATTAATTTATAATTAATTAAATATATAATAAAGACTTTGTCGATTTTTTTTACAAAAAATTTGTCATTTCATTCCCATTCATTAAACATGAAAATTAGAAAATGAAATCTATGTTTACTTGAAATGTTTAGGATAAAAATAGATTAAAATCTACTACCAAAACATATTATTAATAATACTATTTTGTAATCCTATAAAGTTACAAAATAATTTGATTTTGCTTTATCAGCTAGTTTTAATTCATGATTATGTAATCAAAGTAACTGGAAATAACGTTAACTAGCAATTCTTTCGTTGATTGTTAATAAAATTACTTTTAACTATAGGCTATAAAGATGGTTAATAGCTAGTTATATAAAGCCAAATAATAATGACCGATTATTTATTGTGACATCGTCACAATGTTCTCAATTTTCTTAGTAGTGTCTTGCTCCCGTACATAATACTTTTCTTGTTAGCAATAGAGTCGTGCTAGTTATCTATCTAAAATCAGGGAAAAATGTTTGAATTGAAATAACATGATTTCCAGTTTAAACCGGAAGCACACGTGTAGTTAAACTGGGCATCCTGCTTCTAAGCTATCCACATTTGTCTCGAATTTCATCTGCCTAACTCCATTCTCGAGATTAACCCTTTTTGAGCCGCTCATTGTTTTAGAATTTTTAATTAAGCATAAAAAAATACTTAAAACTGAAAAAAAACGAAAGAAATGCGTTAATTTTGAAGAAAAAGCTTCAAAGTTTAACATCCTTTATCTCGCCTTTCTGCGAAATTTGACACCGATGAGTCATTGTTTACACAGCTGGAGTCGTATTTCCCGGGGCATTCTCATAGACGTCTCGGGAGGAGAAGGGTTTAAAGTAGGGTGAATACTAGCTAGACCTATATTTTTAAATATTTTTAAAAAATTAAAATTTTTATTGCGATTTCCGACCCCCGACTTAATTAAACTTATATATAATAAAATCTATTAATTAAAAAATTAAAAAACTATTGGAGGTCGTTTTTGATATCAGAAACTAGCTTTAAATAACTTTACCGAAGTCAAATCCGTGCACTACAACTTTAGAACGATTAATTAAATTTGATAAAAAGTCCCATTAAAAAACAATTCAAACGCAATAAAGCGTGAATCGTGCGTCATTACGGTAAATTAAAAACGCGATAAAATTTTTTTCGCGCGGGAAAAAATTTTGAAGACCTAAAATACATTCCAAAAATTGAAAAAAAAATTTTCCAGGAGGGCCTAAAAGACCGATTTTTCGTAACGCTATGGGACTTGCTCGAGTCAGACTCGAGCGTGGGTAGAAAGGTGCTTAAGGAAGGACAGGCGGACATGGGAATATATCGCAAAGTTTTCGATTGAATTATTTCTTTTCTAAAAGAAAAATATTGAAATGATTCGCTGTTACGATTTAATTGTTTCAGGTAAACCAGCATATAAAACGAGCCATTACGTTTTTTTTTTATAAATTCAATGTCATTTCTAGGAGTGTAATTACAAATTGTTTTTAAAAATGAGTTTTAAAGTACGAGTAGAATTTGATAAAGAATAAAACTTTTTCCAAACGTAAAATTCTAAATTACATAAACCAATTATTTTCTGTTATTTAATCCAATAAGTAAAATGTATAACTTCTAGATATGAGTGTATATTGTATTTTGTTACCAATAAATGAATAGTAGTCAACAAATAATGTAATCAGTGTCTACCAAACAGGCTGACAAAGCTATAGCCTAGGGCAGACCATTTTTTGGTTTAACTTTTTCTTCTTTTGTTAAAAACGTTAAGAGGTTGATAAATAAAGTTTGTTGATAAAGTAGAGGAGGTTTTTTGCAACAATTTACTACAATTAATTCCACTAAAATTGTATAATTTCTTATTATAAAAGTACAATACTATTACGTTATGATGAAAATATTTTTGTAAAGGGGGGCACAAAATGTTAGCAGCCCGCATAACATTAAACCCTAAATTAGGCACTAGAACGTAATTAAACTAATACTTAACTACAATGTAGTTGAAACTAAACACGCCACGTTTCAGTTAAGTAATCTAGTTTTTAAAGTAAAAAATACCGAGGATACCTGTATATTTATGCTATTCATTTTAATTTTTAAAAAATATTCAATATGTTGAGGTTAAGCGTATATACTTTATGGCAATGTAATTTGAATGACAAGATTTCTCCAGATGTTTTTTTTCCCTTGTGGCAGGCACAAACTACTCACCCTCAGTGGGAAACTTAAAATACTTTTCAACATACTGCTCTTAACCGGTTCTTTCCTGCTTATTCTGGATTTGAAGGTTTTGTTATTGAAAGTCACTGTAGAAGTTTCAGTGCATTTATTAATATTTTTGTTTTGCTAGTGTAGTGATACTAATATTTTGTGCTATTTATTAGCAATAGCATTGTTTGTATTTTGATTAAAACTAGAAAGATTTTCTTAAAGAAATAAAAGTTACATGATAAAGATGAAGTGAAAACGAGTTACAGTATTTCAGTTTAACACAAACTTATTTTAGTGCATATCATTAATTTACTAATGAGAGAATATTCTGTAGGTATTAAAAATTTTATGTACTTTTTTACTTAAAACTGACATTCTAAAAGACTATGAGAATTAGCAATATACACAGCCAACAAGTTATTGTAAAAATATTATGAAACAATTGTCAAAAGATGGTGACAGCTATATTATCCTTCTACATGTAGAACATATTCTACAATTATTGTGCTTATATTTCCACCCAGTGAAATGGGGAAAATGCTAAATTTCTTCATTTGAATTACTGTTCAAATCTAAATGATATAATGAGCAAGGAAAAATTAAGATGTACAGTTAATATACTTAAAGAAATTTGTATCAATTTTGTTTTTATTGTAAATAGAAATCTTTAATGTAAATAATTTTATCTTTTATAATTTAATTCAAAACAACAAGTATTCAAATATATTCATAATTGTACTAAGTTTTGCATTTTAAGTGTGACTGCTAGAAAAGTAGTTTCTTCCATGTATGGTCTCATCATGTCTTATGATTGAAATAATAAATTCTATCAGAAAATCTTACCGTTTACTATATCAGTGAGTTAAACAATTATGTTCTGTAATTACATATAGAATTAATGTTTTATATAAGAAATTCAGGAACGTTTCTATTATAGAAAAAATCTGTCATTGTTGATGTAAAACTGCAGTAATATCTCTATAGAATGACAGTAATTGAATTATTTTGCAATATTGAAACAACTCGTTACTATCTAAGCCAGTGGTTCTCGGCCTTTCTGAAGCCGTGGAACACCATTTGTTCACTTTATTACCTGTAGCATTAGCATTGAGATATTCAATTCCACCTTTATTATTCTCAGGAAACAATGAAGCAATAAACTAATAAACTTCATTGTACTGAATAAAATAGAAATATGGAATTGGCTATGAATAAGGTAATATGTTGTAATACATTGGAATAAATATGCAATAAAACAACCTTTTTTTTAAGGCAGATTTGCAGAGCACTGGTTAAGAATTGCTGATCTAAACATTAGAATTATGATCAAATATACTGTAGTCAATTTTTAGGAAGTCAGTTATGTTAAATTAAGAAACTTGAACTAGAACAATTGTTTTTTTCATGCCTAAATAACTGACATATTAAAAATAATACCGGATGATAAATTCATTTATCATCCAGGATTATTTAAAAATTCACATGTAGAAAAAATAACCATATTCCTTCATAACTGTCTTAACAATGTTACATGGCAGAGTTATCATTATTTTGAGGCTCTCTTTTGTCTCTACATGCAAAAGTGGTCTAAAAACCTCTCTGTTGGTGGTACAATATAAAATTACATTTATGAAAAATAAATCTGGATGATAAATTCACTTACAAAATTAACATGGAAAAAAACAAAGGTCTTCACAATTGTCCTAATGTCAGAGAACTTTTTAGACATTTTTGGTAAGAAATAGGAGAGCTTCAAATTGAAGGTCAACTCTATCATATAACATTGTTGTTACTGTGGTGTCAAAAGGAAAATTGTGAACACCTTCGTGTTTTTTCCACATTTGAATTTAATTGAAATATTGCTTAATCATAAAAAATTATCTCTCAATCTTGTTTCATTTCTTCCATGCTTAAGAATGAAAAAAGAGATTCTATAACAAATTATTTTAACAAGCAAGTCACACTGTTTAACTATATCTCAAAGAAGCCCAATATTGAAGAATTTCCTTTTCTTTCTTATCAAATTCATAATAGGAAATATTGCAAGTATTTTTAAAGTAAAAAACACAAGGTAATGCAAAAAGCATGTAGCTGAAATATCAGTCTAGGTATATATTTGATCATAATTAAGAGAAAGTTTTAAAATACCTATCATATTATCAAATCTTATTTTTACAGACTAATGCTGAAAAAGAGTACAAGATTTTGTTGTCTTATTGATAGATCAACTTGCTACTATTAAATTCTCTGAAAATAAATTATTGCCAATTTCTCAACATATAAATTATAAGATGTAACTTGATAACATATCATTTTTCATTAATTTCAAAAATATTTTGATTATAGGTAATAAAATGATCATATACAGTCCTTATACAAGATCATAGTGTATTTTTTAATATTGAGTTGTGAAAATTTTAAAATGTTTTAACTTCTTGTACTGGAAACAATAATATGAAATTTATAAAAATATAATGAGCTAACATATTTTCTATTAATGCTATATTTTGCTTTTAAAAAAGTATCAGTAATTAATTGCATTAATGATTTCAGGCTTTTTGTAAATTAAACTATTCTGAGAAAAATACCAATACAGTTGACCCCCATAACACTGTTGATAATTCTGTTTTATATGAATTCCATGTTGTACGAGTTACTTAGATTTTACAAATATGTGAGCCGTTCACAGCCCGGCACACGTATTTGTAAAATCTAAGTGACTCATACAACATGGAATTCATATAAAACGGAATTATCAACAGTGTTATAGGGAGGGGGTCAACTGTACTGAAACATTTTATCATCATAAAAGAATTTAAATTGTGCAATAGTTGTCTAAAAAAAATTTACTTTATATAATATAGTGTCTAATTTCTCATTCTTTTTAAGTTTTATTTTCAAATTTTAGTTAAAAATATTTTTCCATAAGAAAATTTCTAACAAAGATAAAATTTCAAAATTAATGTAATTATTCAAAGTAATTAAATCCATATGAAAAGTCATATCACAATTTAGTTATCTGTATGAATAATAATGTGGAATGATTTTATGGTAGTTTTCTTGAAATTTTATAATTGATTTTATAAAAAAAACTATTATCCATTTAAAAATTTTTTCACCTTTTAAAATTCACTTCATAAAATAACTTTTATTTAGAATATACTAAATTTTTGTTAAAGTCAATTTTTATTTATCTAGATAACTTTATAATGATGCTGCACAGCAGCACATAAATAATTCTCATATTTACTAGCTACTATTGCTAGCTGCCGTATTCATATTCTAGTAATATGTATGCAAATTTTTCAAAATATGACAAACTGAATTTATTATTACTATTAAAGCTATTATTGACTGAGGTTCAAGAACTGTAAATAGTAAATACAAAACATCTTTTATAAATACAAGTAGATATTGCTGTGGCACATTTTGTATTAAATTTTCTAAAAAATTAAAATATTGTAATTCTAACAAATGTGACCAATATGGTTATTATATTATTTAAAACAACAAACTATATAGATGGTAGCCCAAATCTGTCACTGAGATAACTTATCAAATTTACAAAATTGTTGTTTCAAAAATTTGTTCTTTGCTGTTAAATGATGTGAATTTATATGTATGAGATTAGCAGTCAGCAAACATGAGAACTAAAATTTCACAACACTAGCATCTTGAAAAATGCAGAAATGACTTACTATTTGAAAGAAAAAAATATATAATAATATATATTTTCCCCCCTTAAGCTGTACACTCATACACACTTTTTGACACTGTACATTCTATGAGAAATTCACAATTTAACTTCAAAATATAAACTTGTAAAAGGAAGAAGCCATTCTGAGAGTTCATATATGCTCTTCTAAATAAGAAGAGTTTGCTATTTACATTCTTATGAGGCACACATTAATTAAATATCTCCACAACAAAGTTTTTATAGAGATACTGCACAAATGCCTTATTATATAATTCATTTGTTGGTGTTGGTGATTACCATGCTGTTGGCAAAAAATCTTGGAGTAAACTGCAGAAAAACCAACTGGAAAAGTTATGTGCCGACTACTTATTGGGTGGCCGCTTAATTGTTTTACTTATTTGTTCTTCTTCTACTAGTTGTTGCCTGAACGAAGTCACTTTTTCTACAATAATAATAAGTATTATTGAAAAATCATTCTATAAATCAATAAATAAATTAAGCTTACTTTCTACTAACCTTTAAATTTCGATAATATTTCCAATTTTTCAGCTAAAACATCTTCCAGTTGTTGAGCATAAGCTTTAAAATTATTTTAAAAATTATAATAATAATAATAATAGTAATAGTAAAATAGAAATAAACTAATATTTACCATCAACATCATAATCAACTTCATTAGACATTGCAAGAAGACTACTATCTATATCTAACCATTTCTGGGATGACTGAAACAGTAAAACAAATTTAAATTTAATCACAATAGAAAATTTACTATGAATACAAAAGAATGTATAGATAACTGAAATAAACATATTTTATTACATGACTTTCATTAAATTATTTACATAATAAATCAGCTAAAATAGCATCAATATATAAATTTATTTTGAAATATTAAAAATATGTAAATAATTTGTGTTTGCTTTATTTACTAAAAACTTATTTTGCAGATAAGCCTGAAAAATTTGATCTATAAAATGATAATCTTAAAAAATAATACAAATATGATAAAATGACAACAAATCATGTAGTATAGCAATTTCTTGTGTTATGGTATGTTGATAGACCCTAAAAAACAAATCAAACTTGAATAAAAATTGTTTGCATGTCATTTTTGTCTTTAAGATATAGAGCCAGAATTTTAATATGTCATAAGAACAAGAGAAGATAAAACATTGTTCCAAAAACACCTGAGTGTAGTAAACATATGATCCTGTCCATCAAGTTCTACATTTCATTTTAATGAATTTTGATGCATTATGCTTGCATCTTTTTCTTTTAAATTATATTTCTGTTTCTTGTTATTGTTCTCTAACTTGAAAAAAATTAGACAAAAACACATTTGATATTCCTAATTTAATATAATACCATATTAAAAATATCTCATTACTTTTGTAATTCATTATAAATTAATCAAACTTGAAACAATTTATCATATAAGGATTGACTGAATTGATTAAATTAAACCTGTCTGTGCCATGTTACATGGTCCAGCAAAGGGGAGGAAACATCACATATAGTGTGATAAGCATACACCAGTGAACAAGCAGGGAAAAGTTCAATCATCTCACATGTTTTGTTTTTAGCATAGGGTAGTGAAAATTATGGCCAGAGTTATTTGGAATCCATCCAAGGTCAAAATATGGTGCCATTGTTTTGAGCCAACCAGTAAACAAACTAGCGTGCAATAGAAACATCCTGGCTCACCAACACAAAAAAATTTAAGTCATAGGCCTCTGCCTGTAAGGTTATGATGACTGCATTTTTTGACATTGCAGAGTCTTTGCTGGTGGACTTTAAAGATCCTGACACGAGCATCAATGCAAACATTGAACAAATTCTGTAAAGCCATAAAGAATAAGTGACCAGACATGCTATCACATAGTGTGAGTTTGTTACACAACAATGCTCAATCTCATGTTGCAAACATTGTGCAAGAACCTTTAACATTAAAATGCTGGGAGGTTCTGCACCATCTTCTCACAGCCCCAATTTGTCATTATGTGATTTTCATTTGCTTAAACCTTTAGAAAAAGCTGTTAAGAAGCAATGCTTTAACTCCAATGCAGAAGTCAAGGAAGTAGTCACCTAATGGTTCAAGGACCAACCAACATTGTTCTTTGTGGATAGTATCCATCTCCCCAAACAGTGGGATACTTTCTGAATACCTATGGTGACTTTTTTTAACCTTTCAACAGTGGAATAGTCAGGAGGTATGTGCTTACTAGTGAAGAATAAATGTGCGAAATTTTTAGAGTATTTTTCCACACGTTTTTTTCTCATTACTGTTTTGGAAAAAGATATTGTAAATAGTTATGTCTAGTAATTTTTTATGTAAATTTTTTTTCGCGATACCCCCAAAAGAATTTGACGTATATATACACCCCTCACCACTGCCACATGATCTCCCTTGATGAATCTATTTGTTGCTCACTGCTGAGTGGTAAAATATATGATCTAAAATTTTTAAAAGTATACCGTAAAAGAAATCAACTTGCATTTCGTTAAGTTAAATAAATTTTCTAATTTTCTGCATATAACTAACTGTAAGATCAATAGCTATTCCTGCTAACTAGTAAATTTGTTTCAAATACTATATGAAAATGAGTGAAATTAGTATGAAACAATTTTCATCTTACAGTAGAGCATCGATTATCCGACTCAATTGGGGACTGGGGTTGGTCGGATAACTGAAAAAATGGATAACCAAAAAATATGAAAAAATACATTAGTACAGTATAGTAATGAGTAAAACTATACATTACTATACATTAGTATAGTAATGAGAAAAAAAAAAACGCATAAAAAAATACTCTAAAAATTTTGCATGTTTATTCTTCATTACTACGGGGTAGCATCATACCTGATTATTCCACTGTCGAAAGGTTAATGTCAATTATAAATTACAAAGTTTAAAAAATATATAAATGCTTCAATTATTTATTTATATGAAAAATTAATTTACCTCAATCACATTCTTATGCAAGTCTAATAGTTCTTCTTCAACTTCCTGAAGGTGAGAAATTGCTTCATGGAATGTGTACATATCAGCAGATAATTCACCTTCCTAAAAGATATAAATTAATAATAATACATATTTAATTTGTAATCTAAATATTTTTAATAATAGTAGTAAAAAAATTATATATTCTAATTCTAATAGTACTAATAAAAAATTACATTGGATGATCGTAGGAGAGCAAGATCATCATTTTGAATATTCATGTCCTCTTCACCATTAGGAGAGGATTTCATTTCAGGATTCTCAGCACCAAGTTCTTTAACTCTAAAAAAATTTTAAATTTGTATCATTTAATAACTTATTATAGTGACTTTTAATTTAAAAAAACCTAAAACCTCTTTTCAGTTACTGAGTTAAAATTCAATGTAACTTGTAAATATTTTTGCATCTGAAAGTCACAATTTAATAAATACATTTCTAAATTAAATTACAAACGAGGTGACAAAGACTAATGTTTGACTTTCCATTCTTCATTTAAAATTAATTTTGTTTAATCAGTATCATTAATAAATTTTAAGACATATATAAAGAATATAGATTAATATGTGATTACAATGTAAATTTCATGTCAGCACTACAACTAGGGACATCTAGGCACTAGAAATCATCATCAATATATATATATTTTATAACTACTCATATGATTTTCAATGCTAGACATCCTAGCTCTAGTAATCAAATGCTTCTCTCCTCATATCAAGAATACAGTTTACATCAAATCTTATAAATCTGTAATGATTCTTTCAGTAGCAAAATTAAAAGAATTACATTTTTGATATCTTGTTAATGTTTCTGGTTAATTTTACACATACACAGGAATCAATAATATATCCTCAGTAGAGAAAATTATTTTTAGTTGAAGTTATAAAAAATATTATAAGTTATAATCAAATTTTAAATGAATAAATAAAGCAATACTAAAATTAAAAAAATTGGATTGAATCTCAAATGCACTATATTTTCACTTCTTCCACTTGATGTAATCATATTCCTTTCTATTATTTTCTGAGTATAAAGAACAATGTTAATTAGAGTCTAGTAACTTTTACTAACATCTATTTAAAAAATTCTTTGTAGTTACATTTTCCATATTTTCATCTTGAAGTTTTTGTTACACTTTCAAATAAACAGATTTTTACTCTCATCAAGTTTTAATATTCAATAAACTTTTTGTTGTATTTTTTCTAATTAATAAACTTCATACTTATAATTCTGAAAATTGTAGAAATGATTTTTTTAAGAAAATATTTTCACTCTGACATAGATGATACAATTGAGATAAATCACTAACTATAATTTAATGGTTAATTCTTACTCAACATATGTAAAAAAAATTATATCATTACATTATTTTCATAGAATGTTCATTAATCAGGAATCAAATCCAATTTATGTTTTCATTTGACTATCAAGAAAAACTATAAGAATGTAGTTACCGTCAGAGTAATAAAGAATACAAGATATAAAAATTGTTTCATTAAAATATCTATATATATAAAAATGAATGTGTGTGTGTGTGTGTCCTTCATGCATTACCACATCATTTATCCGATTGCCATGAAACTTTGGAAAGTTGTTTAATATACTCCAGTGAAGGTTTGTGGCATAGTACGATTGCCATGAAGCTTTGGAAAGTGTTTTTTTTTTTTTAATACACTCCCACGAAGTACATTTATCCTACGATAGATGGCGCGCATTTACACGAGCATTCGTGCACAGTGTGTTTGATCGATTTCAAATTGTGAAGACCATTTCCCCCCTTCAAAAAATATCTCTATATATGCATTTGTGAACTGTTATTTACGATATTTATAATAATTTTTGTTTAATCACTTTATTTCGACTTTTTTTGCTAATTATGTATTCGCTCGAACTTCGTTAAAATCTTAACTGTACCCCGAACAACGACCGAAGTTGTAGGAAGAAATTCGCCTATTTTACCGATCTAGGTATCCCCCTTTTCCAAATTTTAATATCGACTCAAAATAATTTAAAAAGACAAATTACAATAAAACGGTTTATTATCCAACTATCAGAAATTTCACAACATGCCAAGGAAGAGAGGAAGGAGCAATTAAATAATTAAAATTATAAAGGATTAAAAAATATATATATAAAAATGGGGAATATCGCGCTTCTGACAATCGCTGCGAGTGTGTGGGCTAAATTTGGAGAATCCGTGCTTCTCGCGTGGACAACTGTACGTGGCCGGCTCATGCGTCAGAAAACCTTCCGATTTATTCGTGTACGCACCAGACGGAGAAACAAAATATATCATGTATCCACGAGCACTCCAATAAATAAATAGAATTGAAACAACACTTTGAAATGTTTTCCCGATGAAAACGAATAATAATAATAAGTTTCAATAAAAATGATAAAATGAAAATTTAATTTTATCATTACGAGTTTGCTTGAATTTTGTTTCTTCTGAGATCGCAGCAATGCGCGACGGGTAAGCTAGTACAGTATAAAAATAGAACATTTCTTTACAATAAATCAATCTTTAAAATTGTTTTTCTGATACTCAAGTCATGTAGTAAAATTTAGAAAGTCATTATCCTGTTTCCTATATTATTTACACTGTTCTAAACAAAACAATATGCATCAAGTTCACAAAGAACTACTTCAGTACATTTCATTACTATAGTTTCAAAATTAAGAGTAATATTCATTGATTTATATGACAATATGGAGCATATTTTTTCAGTTTTCCATGCATATATATATATATATATGCATGGATTTAAAATTAAGAAAAATATACTCTAATCAGTTTGAGAGGACACTCTTCTTGGATGAGATATCAATACATAATAGCTAGGATTATAAATAACAAAGTTAAACAATTATATAATCCTTTAAAACAAGAAAGAATATAAAAATAATTGTCAGAGATCAAAATTATGTTACAAAGATGATAAACAATAAATTTTTGTTTACATATAAATTTTGCAACTTAATTATTTAATTCAGTATGAATATTAATTAATTTTAAATATATCTCTTATTACTGGACAATAATAAAAATCAAATAACTACAACACACACACACACACAAGGAGCTTCAAAAAGTTCCTTGAATTGGTTTATTATTCAAAAGTATGTGTACAATTGACAAATCAAGCAATGTGTCCTTCAGCAACCACACATTTTTGCTCATGCTGGAATAGCTGCTGAAAACATTCTTGAAAGCTGTCTCATGACAGCACCTGCAACACATATGTCACACTTGTAAAACCCCATCCACATTCTTAAAGTGGCATCTTTCAACTGGGGTAAGAGGAAGAAATTGCACGAGGTCTACCTTGAGCATTCATGGCACCATGTGTTGACAAACATAGTTTATGTTCAATTAATGGAATGACAAATTTCAACTGAAATTCCTGCTGTCTGACCTCACAATCTCACGTATAACCGACACTTTCTCCCCAGATGTTGATGTTGACAGATGACACTTCGCAAATCATTAGCAATACTTCCTCATCCATTACAAAAGCATTTTTTGCCAGTCAAACTTGAAAATGCTTTGTGGCAGATTCAACATAGGCATCCTGAAGCATCTTGAAGGTCTCAGAGGGTTTTTCTCCCAATAACACAGAAAATTTTATATTTGAACATTGTTCTTTCATAATAGACATTTTCACCAGACTCTGTTTTACATCATCTCACTAACATGACCTTCAGTTAATGGTAACTGTTGTCATCTTTGCAGTGAATATGGATTTGTTTGAACACATTTCTCTATTCCTGACATGTTTAGCTAAGACATGCATTGCATGTTCTCTTTTTCATTGTCTTTAATTGACTAACATAGCATAATTCTAGGAAATCTTTTAAAGCTAACTTGTGTATATATATATATATATATTACATATTACATTATTCTTACTAAAAAAATTTACCTGTCAGCATATCTTAAAGTATTCAAAGAATGTTCACAGGAGTTCATTCCAGGTGAAATCATAGCAATCTGAAAAGTAATTTTAAAATAATGAATATCAATATTGTTTCACATTATTTTCCATAAATTATAAAATTATTTTTCAAATCTTATTAATTTATAGAAAATAGTTATTAATCATATATATTTTTATGAATAAACAGTAAAATCAGTTTTAAGTTATAAAATACAGTGGAATCTCGGTATACGACCTTAATCCATTCCTGATGTTTGGACTTATACCGAATAAGACATATACCAAACCAACCTTTCCCATAAGAAGTACTGTAAAAATGATTAATCAATTCTCATGTAAAAAAAATGGCTGGCTTTAAACACCTCGCTTTCCTGGCTAATTCCTGCTTGATTTTTCATGAGATCAGCATGTATCTTTTTAGCTTTCTCGCAAATAATTGCTTCTGACACACTGTCTCCAGCACACTGTTTTTCAGTTATCCAAAGCAAAAGCAATTTCTCAACATGGTCTAATGTCTTCGATCTCTGTTTAGAAATTGATTTAACCCCTTTCGCAACATTAGCAGATTTAATAATGTCTTTATTTTTCACAATTGTCAATATCGTCGTTCTCGGAATACGGTATGCAACAATTAAAATCTCGAACACACATGCCGCCTTCATATTTCTCGACAATCTCTTTTTTCAGTTTCAATTGTGATTCTAGTCATTTTTTTAGTTTTCTGTTGCTTTTCATTTGCCTTCTTGCAATTAATAATTAATTAATTAATTAATTAAAATAAAAAAATTTTACTTACAAATTAAATTCAGAAGAAATTTAACAAAGTTATAAACCAGACATGGGCAAATGTGTTCTTTTTGAGTTACATGCAAATCTTGCTGAAAGTGTTAATTTCTGCTTTTTATTATTATTTTTACAATTTTATTTCCACAATTTTGTGAATATATGTTTATTTTTTTATAATTAATAAATTCAATATTTGTTTTATATTATATAATAAAGTCGTGGTACAGAATAAAAAAAATACAGAATTGCGGCTCCGATGCATTTTGCAAAACCCACATTTTGACTCCCATTGACTCTTGCTTGCCCACCCCTGTTATAAACTGGCACCGCGAACATCTAGTCTGGTCTAGTACACCGATGATAGTGCTACTTGTTCATAGATGACACGTATAATTGTATTAAGTCGTATACTGAACAAAAGTCATATACCAAGCAAAATTTGTTTCGTCCAAACAGAACGTATTCTGAATTGGATGTATTCTAAAGCAGACATATACCGAGGTACCACTATATAGTACAAGAATACTTGATTAATAATCATTTTTAATAGACGTATGACAATATAATCAGACATCAATTAAAAACTTCTCTAACAAATTTATGATCTGAGTTTTATTTCTAGTATGGACTTATTGGCCTACTATAGGAGTAGAACCATTATTTTCAAATTGGCATTTTTGTCCTAATAAACAAAATTAATTTCTAAATAAAAAAGAATGGTTAATTATTAAATAATTATATTTAAACCATTCAAATTTTGCAGCAATACATTTTTCCTTAAGCCAATAGAGATGAAATTAATCTTAAAATATAACAAAAGTTAAAAAGTTCTTAACTTTTTAAATTATAAAAATTTGCATATTATAATTCTACATAAGTATTCATAGGCAGAAAAAAGTTAAACTACATAAGAAAAATGTATGTTTTAGTAAAAAATTTTTTTTAGATTTTTTTACTAAAAATTTCCTCCATGTTTCATAGTTTTGCAGTAAGGAATATTATACTGATAAAAGTTTGATGCACCATGAAAGCACTTCTTCACCTTTTAACAATTTTTCTTTCAAACATTACATCTTTCAAATGACCAAGTTGAAATCAAACTGATAGTCGAACACCAATTTGTTCGTTGCTAAATTATAATCATTTATATATTTAAAAATAACTTTTGACAAATACTTAACTATTTGTATTACATGCAAATAAGATTGTAAATTTGGCTTATCTCTTTTAGCACAGTGGATGAGACAAAACAATTTGGATATACTGTAATCCTTTTGTTTTCAAGATTCATATAATGCCAAGCATTTGTGTGCAAGAATAATTTTCATGTGGTACGAGAACAAGTATCGATATGAAAAAATAAATTCAGTTTATTACATATAGTGTAACCTAAATTTTACAACCACATATTGTTACTAAAAACTTGTAAATAGGAATGAGCTGATCCATTTTTCTTATAGTCAAAATTTATGCCTAATTGTTCTAGCATAATTCAACTACTCATCCTCCTCAAGTAGCATTAAAATCACCTATTTACCTAATCACCTAATGATTCTAAATGTAATAAAATAAATAAAAAGAAAATGTTCATTAAATTATCTACCAAAATAAAAGGAACTAATACAAAATGAGAAAAGCAAATACATAACTTATCACTTATTTGTTTACTTCATAATAAAATCAAAAATTAAGACAAGTAAATTATAATTAATAAAATTTTAACTAGTTATAAAAAGATACGTAATGTAGAGATAAGTTTACCAAACTGCAAGCCTCATAGAATGAATGGCATTACTCCTAGTAAACAAAAATATAACATGAATGTAACAAAGAAAAGGGAGACTGGAACTATGCCACAAACAACGTGCAGAAATTTGAAATCTTGTAGCACTCATGATTACTTTATATTTTTGTTATAAAATATACACATGCAATGATTGAAAAAATATCAAAGTGAAAAAAAGTCATGCCAAAAAGTTTCCCAAAAAAAATCTTTACTTTGTGTAATTTTTTTTACATCTCAGATGTTTTTGTTTGGACATCAATTGTTTTTGTTTAATAATTGTATTATTATTTCAAGACATAAGACAATGACATACAATTCAGTTGGCAATTGGCAACTGAATGTGCTGCCAATCAAATGCACCACCAACTGATGCTTTCAATACACTGTTTAGAAAAATTGTTATAAAAAAAGTTTTAATTCACATAAATTTGAGCTTTTATAATTCTGAGTAACACTTTGAATAAAATTAATTTGTTTCCATAAAATTTTATGCTTATTAGCATAAAATTAGGTCATAAAACTGAATTAGCTTTGTGGGAAACCTCTATGAACTTTGACCTATTGACCCAGAAGTTTTGCAAGCACCTCACTGATAACAACAAAGACAAGTTTAAAATTTCAAATTTTAAACTTATTTTTTCTCTACACAAGTATCTGCAGTGCCAGAAGAAGAAAAAAGGAGATGAAAATACAGATTTTTTTTTTTTTTTTGAGATTTTTGCACTTTTCAATTGCTTATATTTAGGCAACTGCTCTATAGAAAAATCTTGAAATTTTGCACACTACCTACGAAAACAATTTTCTTTCAAAAGAGCTATTTGGAATTACTTCAGGTGTTTGGGAGACAAAGAAATTGACCCCTGAAAACTGGCAGCTCAGATTCTTATATATATATATATATAGGAACATTTATTATGTGTAACATTTCTTAGATCAGGTTTATACAGTTCTGAAAGATTCAAAGATTCATGTGCTATCAACACAGCGTTATTATCCACTGTTTCACTAAAATAAAAATATTTTTTCAGATAGTATACCTTAATTACAGATATTTTTCTATTATCAAAAATTCTAATCACAGATAACTGAAAACAATTATCTGTAATTCAAAATTAAATCACTGTTTTCAGACTCAGACTCAGTGGATTGCTAAGAAATGCATAAAGCACAAATACTATTGAGCAGACTCATACATTATAGTGAAACATGAGCTAGTACATGAAAATTAATAATGCTGTTTGAAAAAATAAAGCCTAAAATATAACCAAAACTGTAACTAACAAAAAGAAAATCAATACTTACACATACATTATAATTTAATTAAGAAACAGTTAAAATTAAGAAAGATGATTAAACAAAAGTTATTTCTTACCATACATGTTCTGGAATTTTCTCCAATAAAAGAATCCCTTAGCACTTGAGTTAATTTACTTGCACGAAATGGAAGATGTGCACCTTTGCGACCCAGAGCTCTTATACATTCCTTGAAAACAAAATAATTTATTAATGTATTTTATATCTGTTAACTCTAGCACAACTCAAACAGAATTTATATTTAAAGTTTATCAAAATAAAATTATTGTCTTAAATTTCAAAAAGTAAAGCCAATTTTTAAATATAAAAAATTAATTATTTGTTATGGAAATATAAAAAGTAAGATAAATTTTTTAAAATTTATTAATTACTAGAAGCATTCCTACAGCTTGTCCATGATAAGTAAAAGGGGAAAAAAGTACCTGTACTGACATTTCTGAATATCTAAAAAAATATTTTTCCTTCAACTTACAAACTTTTGCATGCTTTGTTATAAAATATACATATGCAATGATTGAAAAAAATATCAAAGTGAAAAAAGTCATGCCAAAAAGTTTCCCAAAATTTCTGTTGGTCAATAAAAAAATCCCAATCTGGAAATGCTAGGCAGCATTGCACAAAACTATCTTTGGTTCTTGTCATCACTTCCTACTTTTCTCCCCACAAACTTGCAGTGTGACATCATGAAATCACTAGGTGTGTGATGTATAGAACTCCCATTCAGAAGTCCATGTTCAGAAGTTGACATTTTGCTGTTATTCCTGAAGTGTGATTCATTTCATGCTGAATATCAAAACAAGCAGACTAGGACCACTTTCACCACTTTCTATTGCCAGTATTATATTTTATTCCAAAGTTGTAATTCTGGCCCTATCCAGTGCAATCCCTGCATTTGTTTTCTTTTGATATTAAAAGTTGTTTATTAGTTTTAAGTAAGATCAACTCATTTACAAGTTTCTGTGGATTTGAAATTTGACACCTTTATGGAATTGAGGGTATTGAATCAATTCACACAAGGTGTGAAATTTCCAATTCACCACAAACTGTGTAAGGAAAGATTTCTTTATTTTTGAATGGTAAATTCTAAAACTTTAATACAGTAGTAACTTTATTTTACCTTTTAAAAAATTTTTACTCTAATTTTATACATTTTGATGTTCTATTATATGTTCAATATTACAGTAATATTGCTGTATTTTTAATTTTTTTTTGAAAAATTAAAATTACATGACTTTTTACTAAGTATTAAATTGCTTGTTACTGTGTAATAAAATCACAACTGATATTTTGTTTTTATATTAACACTATTTGTCTTTAAATGTCATTATTAAAGAAACAATGCTAAATGGGCATTCATGGTATCAATGTTTATGTAAACATCATTTAATATGATATAACCATGAATAAAATTCAGTATTGCAAAAGTTTATTTTATATCAGAAACACTTGCTGATGAAAGAATTTAGGATAGTTTCCATAGCATATATAATTTGTTTAAGCCCAGAATTTTTAGTACTTGGTTATATTGTAACACTGAATGTAGCGCACTTTTTCCTTGTCTCCCAACAAGTGCAATATAACAAGAGGCTACTGTACTATCATTTGAGGGCAACTATTAAGGGAATAAATCTAGTAACTTTCATTTCAATACTATTTGAGAAAAATGCAACACTCAATACACTATTTCAAATTGTGGCAAAAATGACAATACTGAATACTCTAATTTTTGAATTTAAAGTAAGTCTTATCTTCCTTCAATAGACAGCATTTTTACTAATATAAAAAAGTTAATCACTCCAGTGATGTCTACTTTTTAGTCTTGCAGTTGTACTGTTTATTAGAATAAATATATGGTAAATCCCATAAAACAAAATTTGTATTTTAAAGAAATTCAATAATTTAAATGTTAAAATTGTCTAATAGCTTTATTAAACTGTATTCAACAGAATGTAATAGAATTGTTTCATTAAACTTTTCACACAATGAATTAATTACTGATTCTGATAAAACTTTTATACTAATAAGGGCTTGTCCTAAACTTAAAAAATTCTTAGTCATTTTAACTCATGGACCATAGGAATGTGAGTAAAGAAAAGAATTACAAGTCACTCTTAAAAAATTTATTTCCTGATAGTTATTGATTTCATATAATTAAATACATTTTTATGATTGAGTTTGATCCAGATTGCTTACTTAAATAACAGAAATATTAATTTCGAGTGTAATAAATAAAGCTACGATGATAAAAGTTATTCTTCTAATCTCTCATACATTGAAATGCATCAATAGTTTGAAAGAGAAACTGAAAAACTGATTTAAGGTGATTGTCAAGTTTAGTTTTGTTGAAAGCACCTTATCCAATCAACTCTGTGCCAAATGTTCTCGCATTAAGCACTCTTCAATGAAAAAAACTAAGAACCCAATCATGATGTGATTAATACAGATATTGTAGCAATTGTGGTTTCAAATTCATTTAAGGTTTTAATTTATTTGTGTTTTTACATTTTATAATTTAGAAGTGTTATAAAATGTCTAAAAGAATTTTTCCATTCCTGCTAGTTATTCTGCTGTGCTAATTTACAAATTAAATCATTCCTATAGGTCATCTAATTATTGGTTTTTGTTATGTGTAAAATACCTTTACTTTAATAAAATAAAAACAATTGACAAAATTAAAAGACTAATGTATGGTAGCAAATTTACTTATTTTTAATAAGCTTTTACCAATCAGTAATTTCATAAAATTCAGATAATTAAACAATTGCTCATTTTTTTCTGACAAATAGTTCATTGTAACATCATCACAATCCCAGCTACAATTTTTAATCATCCTTTAATTTTAGAAAGAAAATCACATTTCTTGTCCAGACCAGACATTCGTATATAGTTAAATGGGTCTCCAGCCTCTATGATTTCCATATTTGGTCTTAATTTTCATCTATCTAACTCTACTATCAAGATTAATTAATTAATGAAGGACAGAAGACAGTGCAATTTAAAAACTGCAGCCAAACAGTTGGAAAACCTTTATCTATTAACATTATATGAACTAACCCAGAATACCTAATGCAAAAATACCTCAAGTTATGCAACATGCAACTTATGTAAATTCACAGTTACATAAAATGTAAATCTCAAAAATCAGAAAAAATCTGAGTAATTTATTGACATGTAATTTTACAAAAAATTATTCTATTTCAAACATCCATTCATTCTATCTCTCCCTCTCCTCCTTTCTTTTACTTTATTGCTCTGCTAATCCTTTACTTTTCAGTCTAATTGTAAACACATACACAAGTGTACCAGGCACTCTTTCTTGTAAACAAGATTCTCCTATTCATGTGAAGGTCGAGCACCGAAATCAAGCACATTTTCATTGCTTGTTTTTCTATATGTATTGTTTCATGCCATTAGTATAGTTTGCCTCAAGTGGTTTGTTTAATACATAACCTGTTTACCACTGTTACATTTACATAGTGTTCATTGTTTATTCACAGTACTGTACCATTAAAATGCAATCAAAACAACAAACCAAATTCATCCATAATAAACCAAACAAACAAAGGTCTGCAATTACTTTAGAAGAAAAATTTAAAATAATTTGTATGTATGAAGATGAGAAAATAACAATAATAGCTGGGGAAATGAATTGACCTATTTCAACAGTGAATACAATAGTGAAGGCAAAAGTTCGCATTGTTGAAAGCACAAAAAGGTATGGCAACATTAAAAGGCACAATTATTACCAAGAGGAGACTGAATCTGATTTCAAAGATGAAGAAATGGTTGCTTCGTTGGATTGAGGATATGATAGAGAAGTGACACCATTACATTTTCTGATTATCCAGAAAAAAACTAGGTTTCTGCACAAGGATTTACAAGAGAAGGCCAGCATCACAAATACAGAGATCACATTTAAAGCTAGTGCTGGATGGTTCAATCAATTCAAGAAATATTCAAATCTGCATAACATCAAAATCATGGACGAATGCAAATACAGATGCAGCAAGTGAATTTTCTGAACTTCTGGTTGAAATTATTGAGAATGGGGAATATTTATCTGAGCAAATATTTAATGTTGATGAAATGGTTCTATTTTGGACAAGGATGCAACATGAACATTTATTGCAAAAGAGGAAAAATCTATGTTTGGATTCAAGGCTGCAAAAGATTGGATCCTGGTTATGCTTGGTGACAACTAGGGAATTCGATCCCGGTCCTTANTACCAAGAGGAGAGTGAATCTGATTTCAAAGATGAAGAAATGGTTGCTTCGTTGGATTGAGGATATGATAGAGAAGTGACACCATTACATTTTCTGATTATCCAGAAAAAAACTAGGTTTCTGCACAAGGATTTACAAGAGAAGGCCAGCATCACAAATACAGAGATCACATTTAAAGCTAGTGCTGGATGGTTCAACCAATTCAAGAAATATTCAAATCTGCATAACATCAAAATCATGGACGAGTGCAAATACAGATGCAGCAAGTGAATTTTCTGAACTTCTGGTTGAAATTATTGAGAATGTGGAATATTTATCTGAGCAAATATTTAATGTTGATGAAATGGTTCTATTTTGGACAAGGATGCAACATGAACATTTATTGCAAAAGAGGAAAAATCTATGTTTGGATTCAAGGCTGCAAAAGATTGGATCCTGGTTATGCTTGGTGACAACGTATCATGGGAATGAGACTTACAGTGTATCACTCTCAAAAACTGCACACTTTTAAAATTAGTCATATCAAAACCTGAAACTCATTTCTCTTATGAAACCTTTATCATTTGGACCACTAAAAAAAAAAAAAAAAATCTAGCAACTAGTGTGTTCAGCCATTGGTCATATTATTGACAACAGTGAAAGATTGGTGATGTACATTTGTTATACAATTATTTGTAAATAGGGAAGTGTCTATTTATGCTGTTTGAAAAAACTGAGTCATAGTTGACTCATAAGTTAAATTTTCCAAATATCCAAATTCCTTAGGAAATACGAGAGTAAACACAATCCTGACTAATGCTTTATATTTTCAAACTTAAGGTTTATGATAAGTATAAAAGTTACTTAAAAATCAATAAATTACTCTGACACTGTAAGGTGACAATATGTTGTACCACTTTGCAAATCACTTTTACAGACCTGTGACTTGTAAAATAAGAATTGTATTCAAGTGATTCATATTTTTTTCTTTGCAGAGGGCATATTATAGCACATTTCATAATTGAATTGGGCATCCCTCAATTCTTTGCATTGGCTTGACTCTTGATTGAACTTTAGACTGAAAAAGTCCAAAATATTGGCATTTCAACTTTTATGTCTATTCCAAAGCCTCAAAGTTATAATAAGTTAAATGTATATTTATTTTGTTTCTAATTATGTTGATATTTTATAAATAAATGATTTCTTACTATACTTTATGCCCCAAATCTACAGTTCAAGTAAATGCAAATGCATCTAACATTTTAATTATGTTGGGGTTATTTGCACTAGCATGGAAGTGGAGCAGAGGAGAACATCATTTCTGATTGTGCTGTTCCATGAGTTGCTTTGAATTCCCTGGGTATGAGTCTAAACCATGTTGCATTGTTCATGTTAAGAGAATAGTAAAACAGTTCATAAATAAATAATCAGAAAAAAAAAATTGATTGAGAAATATTTAAAAAGAAAACCACAGCAAACATAACAAAGACTAGGGCATCAATAACAAAAGAAATACTTAGTTTTCTTCGGCAATTTAAAAGAAACTTTTGATGGGTACCCCAGAAAACATTTGAAATCAAAATTAGTTACAAATAAACAAGGTGTCAAGTATCTAAAAAATGTCTGCAATGCCTCTAAAGCAAGTATATCAATCATGATTGGAAAATCACAATTTAATTTTGTATCTCTTTTGTACATCTCTTAGATACTGTTAATAAATTACTGCATTAATTTCAAATAGTCTGCTTTTGTGAGTATGGTTTAAAGTAACATTATCAAGTGAAAACATTGCTCCATGTCAATTCCTGCTTTTTTATCAATGTAATAAATATTTAAAGTGGTATAAAGGATGAGGATATTTCCTCAATGAGAATATTCTGTGCCACATTTTTTGGTCTGAAAAAAAAAAGAAAGAAAGCTGCAATACTGAGATTTGGTTAGCTGTTTCAGTAGACATTTCTGAGTACATGTGCAATAGAACATGTTTATAATGCCAATATAAGAGACTGCAAAGATTTCTGAAAAAAAAAAATAAATAAATAAATAGGTGCAAAGGTACTCCCACTTTATGGTATATAAAACATCTACCCACATCCACACTTTATGTATGGCTCAATAGTCTGTAGAAATTAATTCAGTTGAATCTGATTTGAATTATTAAATAATTCAAACCTGCTATCATTACCTTTAAAATTTATATTTAAATTATTGTTACAAAAACAATTTATTCAAATTTTCATTTAGTACACATTTAGTATCATTATAGAGTTTAATGGCAAACTATTTAGCAAACTTTTCAAGTTTGTCTTATAGTAAAAACTACTTTCAATGAAATTTATTAATTACTAAGCTTCTGAATCTACAGCTAGTATCTCAAATTGCATAAAATTTGACAAAATGATTTAAGCAAAGAAATAAAGGACAGTGGACCAACCTATTGTAATATATAATATAATCAGTTACTGTAGTAAGAACTACTTTAATATTAAGTTATTAACAAAATTTTTTGCCCGCGTGAAAAAATTTTATCGCGATTTTAATTACGCGTGATTTAACAATTAATTGTTTTTTAATGGGAGTTTTTTTTTTTTTATCAAATTTCATTCATGGTTCCTAAGTTGTAGTGCACAGATTTGACTTCGGTAAAGTTATTTAAAGCTAGTTTCTGATGTCAAAAACGATCTCCAAAAGTTTTTAAATATTTTAAATAATATATTTTTTTAAATATAAATTTAATTAATTAGGGGGAGTTGGAAATCGCAATAAAATTTTTAATTTTTTAAAAATGTTTAAAAATATACGCCAATTTCGAATTCACCCTACTTTAAACCCTTGTCCTCCCGAGAGGTCTAAGAGAATGCCCCAGAAAATCCGACTGCAGCTGTGTTCAAGGTCACACAGCTGTGTAAACAATGACTCATGGTGTTAAATTTCACAGAAAGGGGAGACAAAGGAACTTGGCAGCTTTTTCTTCAAAATTAACGCATTTCTTTCGTTTTTTTTCAGTTTTAAGTATTTTTTATGCTTAATTAAAAATTTTATAAAAAATGCGCCTCAAAAAGGGTTAAGTATAATTAAATATCAAAATCACTTACTTTTAAAGCAAGAAGACTTTTATTAATTTCAGCACCTTCCATTCGTGTTTGACGATTGGCACTAGAAGTGTCTGCACCTCTTTCATTACCAGCTAAATCAATGAGGGAAAATTTGCCATGTAATCTTCCAGTAAGCCTAAAATTAAAATTGAAATGAATAAGTTTAAAATTTTATGATTTTAAAAATTCAGTTTAAATCTTTTTAACCTTTTTTTCAAAATAATTTGAAAAACTGCATGGGATCTTGATGAATGCTGGTTTGCTGATGTTTGTCCCGAAGTCCTGAAAATCAAAATAATTATGATTTATATATATATATAATTCAATATATAATTAATCTATTATCAAAAGCATATTCAACATTTTAAAGTACTGAAATTATAACATAAAACCAATTGATTCAATCACCATACACAATAAACTGAACAATTAGTAAATTTTGTATTTATGTAATAATAGCATTTCAATGCACATCCATTTTGAATTTTAAAAAGCTATCACAACTTTTGGAAATCAAATTCCCCACATAATATGGATATAATTGATTAATAAAATAATACATTTCACTGTAAAATTATAAAAGTTTGCCAAATTTTGATATACTATTTAGTTTGTAATTCAAATCTTAAATAAATAATAATATAGTAAAATTCACAGCTTATTTTAATTTAAAAATCTGTTTAAATATTTTTAAAAGTTTTTCAAAAAATTATTATAATACAATAAAAGACTGTAAAGTATAATTTTAAAAATATTAATTCAATATAATTTTAAAAATATTTTCCTTCTATTACTTCCAAGAGCTGCATTTACTTTAATAAATATCAGATCTGGTAATTAACATAATAAAGCTATATTTGCCTCACTGATAAAATATTTGAGTAGAAGCAGACTTCCTGTAGAAAAATGAAACAGTGCATTTGACAGGAAATACTGATTATATTATCAGAAAAATCTGAAATTGCAAAAAGTCAAATATCTTGTCTGAGCTGGATGTGACTCATGAACTGCACTTTGACAACTGTTTTCTAACATTTATGTATTAACTACACCTTACAATAACAGATTTTTGATTCCAAGTACTTGGATTTGTCAAGGTTTCATTTATAATCAGACTTTGTACTTGATCTAAAATTCAACAAGTTTGTATATTTTAACAGTATTAAATAAAAATAATTGGTTGTTAATTGCCATAGCCTTATTAGTAAACATGTAAAAAAAAATGATCTTTACTAATTTGTAAAGATAAAATACAGCTAGCAAATTCAGTCTAAATACAACTAGATTAGTTTTGCTGTCATATCTACAATACCAACATTATAATAAAGCTAAATGATTAGACAGATTATATCAAGCTATATTATTATTATTTTAATAATTTAATTATAATTATTAAATTTAGCAAGAGAGAGCACCCAACACCTATCTCTAGTGCCAAATTACTTAGCATTTAATTATTAATAATAGTTCAAAATATATAGATTTTTCATTGTTTGAAAGTATCATGGATACCAATGTTCAATAAATGAAAACCAATACATATTAAACATGGACTCTGAAACCCAGACTCAATTCTGTCTCAAAATAATTTTGCTAAACCCTACACATTTCTACACAAATAAAATACAAGGGTCGTCCCAGAAGTACCCAACCTGACATAGATGGCGGTACTTGTTTGAAAAAAAAAAAAAACGACTGTGTTTGAAAGTATCAACCTTATAAAGCTTAAGTCTGAAGTTTGAAGACGTTACGTTGTATAGTATTTTTTGGCAGCCATAAATAGTGAACAATCTCAGTGAATTTGTAAACATGGAAAAAATTTGTCATCGTTATGTGATACAATACTTTCATTTGAAAGGTTTCAGTCCAACCAATATTAAAGTTGAGCTAGATTCTATTCTGGGGGAGTCTGCTCCCTCATTTACAACAATAAAATATTGGTTGGCAGAGTTTAAACGAGGCCGTACGAGCTGCCAAGACAAACATCGTAGTGGTCGACCAAGTGAGGTGACCATGCCAGAAATGGCGGAAAAAATCCACAAAATGGTATTGGATGACAGTCAACTCAAAGTGCGAGAGCTAGCAGACATGGTAGGCATTTTAAAAAGTGCTGTACATTGCATTTTAACTGAAAATTTGGACATGAGAAAGCTGTGCGCAAGATGGATGCCGCATTTGCAAACAATGGGACAAAAACAGCGTCGTGAGGATGTTTCAATCGAGTCTTTGGCAATGTTTCGCAGCAACAAAGCCGAATTTTTGCGTCGATTCATAACCATGGATGAAACATGGGTCCATCACTTCACACCTGAGACGAAAGAACAGTCGAAACAATGGACTGAAAGGGGAGAATCAGCTCCAAAGAAGGCGAAAACAGTTCCATCTGCTGGCAAGGTCATGGCGTCAGTTTTTTGGGATGCGCCCAGGAAAAACAATCAACGGCAAGTATTATGCGAACTTATTGCAGCGCTTGAGTGATGAAATCAAGAAAAAACGGCCACATTTGGCGAAAAAGAAAGTGTTGTTTCATCAAGACAACGCACCAGTTCACACATCCGTTATTGTGATGGCCAAAATCAATGAGTTAAGGTTCAAACTGCTTCCTCACGCACTCTATTCGCCAGATTTAGCCCCCTCGGATTATTTTCTCTTTCCAAACTTAAAAAAATGGCTTGGTGATAAAAGATTTGCCAACAATGAAGAGGTGGAGTCTGCGGTTGATGGCTATTTTGAGAAGCCCGACAGTTCTCATTATAAACAGGGGAGTGAAGCTATTGTACATTGCTGGAAAAAGTGTATCAAGCTAAAAGGAGACTATGTTGATATGTTTATGAATAAAGATATGTTTTACCAAATTTTTTGTGTCTTCTTTGTTAGGTCGGGTACTTCTGGGACTATCCTCGTAGTTACAATAATTTACAAAGGAACTGGCTTTATTGCTAAATTCTGCCATGACCTTGGTGAAATGTCATTTTGCAGTAATGATCACTGCAAAATGATTTCCCAGCAAGGGCATATTAACTGTGAAAATTTCTTCTGTTTAAATTTTTTTTTGTATTATGGATAAACAAATTAAACATGGTAGTTATATTATTACAATATATAATTTAAAATTAATTAGTTGAATGCACTTTTCTAATAAGAAATGAAACAAAAATAGAGAAATACAATAAAGTTCATAAAAAATTGCAAGAATATCCTATGCATAATAATATTATCACACTTAAACACACAAATAGTAATTTGAGAAATGAATAATTAGGAACAAGTATAATTGTGTTTTAATGATTTATACTCTTAAATGAAAATAAATTATTTTTTATAGAATTAAAAACCATGCTTCAGTGTGTTAAAATTTGTTTTCCTATTTAAAAATATAATTCTATCATCATCTCTGCATATACCTAAAAAATAAATTTCAATTTTAATCTTTTTGCATCTATTCTATATATATATATATTTATTTA